ACCCTGCAATTCTAAACCTTAAACAGACATTGGGCCTGAAAGAATATTCTGAGAGGTCATTATGTCCGAGTTTTGCTGGTTTGCTCTACTTGTCTGCCTTATCATGTTGCTGAATATGTCCACAGAAGATCACCGCTTCTCCACAGCAACATCTTGGGTGGGTTCAGAATTATGCTTTTTAAAAGAAGCTTGACTCTTAAAGATTTGCTTATCTCTCTGAAGTCTGCTGGACAAGAAGGGGAAAATCTTCTTTAATAGGTCTTCACTGTTCCTTTCAGAGGTTGTTATTCTAGAGTTGCATTGTAAAATACGGCAATCACCACCCACATGTGACTATTTAAATTAGTTTATATTAAATTAAAAACTCAGTTGTCCAATCACAATAGCAACATGTATGTGAATAGTGGCTACCACACTGAACAGCTCAGAATGCTGACCACTGCAGAAAGGCTATCGGACAGCACCGGTTCAAAAGGAGACAGGCAGGGCTTTATCCCCTCCTTCCCAACATTCATGGCCAGTGCTGAATTCAAAACTAAAACAGGGCCCATCAGTCTCTTGGCTGACCTCAAGATATCATGACAAGATTCATTTCAAAGGTCACCTCTGCAGAGGGGCTTCTCTGATGTGAGCTTAGAGGCAGTGCCCAAAGTGCCATTTGTTTCTGGAGCAAGCCACAGCCCCTTCTCGCCATACTCATCACTTCTTTTGAAACTGTTTAAATGTAATTACCTCACAGACTGCGGGAACACAGTGTTAGCCCTGGAGCCACACAGCCTGCATTTCAATCTTGCCTCTATCTCAGGCTTGCCAAGGGAAACTAGAAAAGACAGCTGGCATCTCCCTGCCTTACACACCTCTTCTGTAAAATGGGCATAAAAAAAGTCCACGTTTGATAGGATGTGGAGGAATTAAATGAGTTGGTGTATACAATGTATTTTGAAGAACACCAGCACATCGTATACACTGGACAAATGCTGACAAAAATAACCAAGAAAGATAAACACTTGCAAAAGCAGAGCTGTTTTTGGTCTTCTGCCCTGTATATCGTATGCCATGCCTCAGGAGAATGTCTAAGGAAATGCTTAATAAATAATTGTTGAAAAGAGCTGGTGTGTGCATTTAAAAGGTTGTGCTTTATAACTGCACTGCCAAATGCAGCTCTCCTGCCTGCCTGTGACACTGCAAGTGCTTCTTTCTTTCTCCTTTTCCTAATTAAGCCTGTCCTTTTAAAATGTAAAGAACAACAACAAAATCTGCACAGACAAGAACTTATCCTATAGACACATTCAAAGTAGCATACTGATATTTGCACAGGATGTCCATTGCAGCATTATTTGCAAAATATCAAAAAGGGGGGTCTCTGTGGTGGCACAAGGGGTTGTCTCACCACTGCCCTTGTGGTGGCACAGGGGTTAAGTCTCAGCCACTGCAGCATTTGCCGTACTACCCACATAGCATAGTAGACCTCTCCTGTCTCACCCACTGCTCCCCTCAGCAGTATATTTCAGTCAGTCCAACTGTTCTGCTCCCCATTCTGTCTCTGTTGAATCCTCTCACCACCCTGCACCTCTGGTCTACACCCCAGCTCTTGTAAGCAAAAATAAATAAATTAAAAAAAAAAAAACACTAAAAAGAGGGTAAGTCTACCCTAAATGTATACCTGCAAGGGGATGGCTAAATAAATTATGTGTATTCACATGTTGGGAAGATGTGCAGAATTTGCAAAGAATGAGGTGGAACTGTATGGGGTAATGCAGAAAGACTGCTAAGAAATGTTAATTGCAAAGGCCAAGGATAGATTAATAAACAAGAAGACAATGGTTTATGCCATTTGTGTGTAAGTTTTGTGAATCTCCACAGACTAACTTCAGCTCACCCATCAGAAATCACCTCAATCACTCTCAACAACATGGTCTCCTTTAAAGATTTTCACACACTTACAAGCACATTTATTTCTGTGATTATTTGAATAAAGCTTCTTGTGCACTTTAATAGTGTTATCTGTGGGGAGGAGGAGAAGCAATATGGATTTAAATACTCTAAGTTCTTTACTATATGAAATATTCCATCATGTACATTTATTCTTCTTCACAAATGTTTTAAGTGTCTTGCTTCACATTGTGGGTTTTGTGGCTTTCAATAGGTGTCTTTTGTGGCACACTTTTTCCTCACTTGAAAAAAAACCGGAGCCGGGAAAAAAGATGGTGAGTAACTAGGAAGTAAATAAAGATATTTTATTGACAAATTCACTGGTTTACTGACTAACCGAAGGGGGAGGGAATCCACTAGGGTGGCAATTTTGGGCCAGTCGTGTGTGTAAATATAAAAGCAAGGCTGATTGAGAGTTTGCATGTGTCAGATGCTGTGCTCAGCCCTTTCCAATTATTGTCTCACTTAATCCTACCTATGAGGAAACACTATTATTATTCTCATTTTACCAAAGGGAGAATGGAGACATGGAGCATTAAGCAACTTGCCAGAAGGCAACCAGCTCAACAGCAGAGGGGCTAAGATTCAGACTCAGGCAGGGCCTCAGCCAAGCCCGCACAATCCTCAGTGTCTAAGCAACAGCAGCTACACTCGCAGGGCGAGTCCGGGGAGGTAGACATAGGACGCTCTCTCAAGGTGTATCCAGCCCCATTCCTAAAACACTACCTGGCATTTAATAAAAATTCCATTTAGCTTTCAGCTTGTAAGAGTCAACATAATAAACTACAATTGGTTCCAAAAAGGATGAGCTGTTTTATAAGGTGGAGAAATTATACAGCTAAAAGGTCAAGGGCTGAAGAATGCTGTACCACCAAATGGCTTGAAAATGGAATGGATTAATCCTGGGCCTGAGAAAATTTCAACTTGAAAGTAACTGAGCAACATTCAGGCAGTTTCATATAAGACGAGTATACATTCTGTGAAAAGCATTTCCCTGATGCACCGCTTCCAGCAAGTTAGGTTCAAATACGAATGGGTTATTTCTACAACTTTTTGGTTATATTCAGGATTCTTCCTGGGGTTTTCAGGAAAGAGTGTGGGATCTGAAAGTTGAACTAAGCTGGGTTTTTTTCCTGGCTCTAGCATTGTAGAAATAGCTTTACAATCTTGAAAAAATTCCTAAATGCTACCTGGCCTCAGCAACCCCGTCTAGAAATTTGGTGAGAATAGGTACCAATGTTGCAGTGACAAAATTAAATGGGAAGACAAAGTGAATCCACCTATATAACACCCACAGTGCAAATATCTCAATAAAAAGAATTTATTTCCCTTTTCCCACTATGCAAATAAATTGTTGCCCAAGTCACACGATTTGATTTTCCTTTTCAACCCAATACTCTTTGTCCAGCCCGTTTCACTCTTAATCTCTCCAAAAAATGCAAATATGTATTTTTTTATATTAGGGGACTCAAGCTCCCCAGGTGGACATGGTAAATGATTTCAGATAAGGGCAATTCATTTTCTCCTAACCAAAGAAGATTCACACCTGCTCTATTCTCAAGTCACTTCAACTGTTAATAGATTCATGTGCACAAGACAACATGTTGAAGAAGTTCCTGGTACATCCACTCAGCCTTCTTCCTCCCCTCAGCTCACCCCCAGACCGTTCTGAATTGTTACTTCTAGGGATGATCTCAGATTTCTCTAAACCACCAACCACCCCAACACCTGTATGAAGCTGAGACAACTGATAATTAGCAATAATGAAAGGAAATATTCCTGAGTTTACAACCAGGAATTAGATTAACATTTAGACAGTGTTCCACATATATTCACAAGAAATAAGTAGTGGGTACAAAGATAACACTCTTTTCCTTCCTACAGGGTGTAAAATAAAGCAGAATCAGGGTGCCTAAGATTCATGATCATTACCTGTTAGCCATTGCCTCGCCCAGGGTTTATTATCTCCAAGCTATAAAGACTTGACTGTGTATTTACCTTTTGTTTTTAAGTCTAATCTTTAAAATGTCCTTGTGACTGATCAATAAATCCAAATTCTGAGTTTACAAGCACACCAATAAATCCAAATCCTGAGTTTATACACATAGCATATTAATGTAATTAAGTTAATAATTTGACATAGATAAGAGTATAGTAAACCCTCTGTCTCAAATAATGACATTCCAAAGAGCAAACAAGCTATACTGTTTTTTTTAATGTAAATTTAATTTTTCCTCTTACATTTGGCATTGATCTTGCAACCCCATACATGGGATCTCATCCTTTAGATATATATTTTCACCAGTGTGAAATAACATATCTATGCTTTTTGCTGGAGCAGTATTTTTGAAATTAAAAAACTGAAAATGACCTAATGCTTATACACAAGAAAGCAGTTAAATACATTATGGTATGCTCACACAAAGAAATTATATAGCCACTTAAAAAGAACATAAGAAAGGTTTTATTACTTAACTCTAAAGACCCATGAGACATACCAGTAAATAAAAAGAACATTGTTTTCATTCTGTGTACCACCTTGTTGGTATACTACATTTTGTGCAAAGCAGGGAAGAAATAAGAAAACATATAAAAATATACTTGTGTGTATAGATAGATACATGCCTCCTTGCATTTTTACATAACAAAATTTCAGAGGAGTGCAATTTTTACTCAAAAATAAACATTAAAAACCAATTAGTGGTAAAAATGATGTTCCCTCTAGATTAAAAAAAACACTAATGATATGGTGACATTTTGTAATTGACACTGAATTTTCTTACTCTTCTTTCTAATAGAAACATACCCATATTAAAAGACAATCTATATGTTTACATTAACAAATCAAAAGAGAAAACTCCTGGAAGAGAAAAAAAAAAAACATTTTTAAAGAGTCCCTTAAAGTTTTCTCTCATATACCATATTAATATTATTAACACAATACAGTCAAGTGTAACCTCCTATTGTTTTTCAGACTTCTCTAGTTCATAAGCTGTCTAGATGGTCCTCGTTCTTCTGAGGTGCCCTGGAGACAGGCAGCCTTCTTGCTGCCATTCAGATAAGCTCACCTTCATAGGTGCCAATTTCCAAAAGCGTCCCGCTCTGTTCGAGGTCCAAGAACTCCTTCACAGTCAGAAAGTTATAGTCCACGCCAGGCACTTCTCCTTCTCTTGGAGATCGGGTTGTGCCTGCATCAGACGAGACAAAGGCACAAGAAAAGATCAGTCAACTAAAATAAGAAGCTCCACATCCAGGTGTAATTAAAATAACCTGTTCAGTAAGTTAGACAACCCAAGATTCTGCAGACCTATCTGCCCAAACAGGGAGCAGGCAACTTCTTTCTAATAGAACAGCATCCTCATTCTACCCTCTGGTGTCAGGATGCTTCAAAGAGCAGAAAGAAGAAACCAGGCACAGCTAGGGAACCTGGGAAGTGTTCTGTCATTTTTAAAAGAATGTACTGAATAAAAATGGTGAGCCAGATTTTATATAGAAAACATTCACAATCAGCAGCTTTCAGGACGCTAGTAAATACTAAGATGTTATCCACCTTAAGCTTGGAGCCTAAGGGGTTTATATTTTTATCACAGACCTCGAAATTCTTGTATTCTCTGGTACATCCGGCAAGTTCTAATGTAATAAGCCCTTTGAAGAAAATGACACCCACTGCATAAACACATCACTAGAGAAATGAATTGCTCAAGATCTGTGGTTAGACATCTCCCAGGGATTAAAATGCTGCTGCTCTCCATGTAATTAATACGTTTGGCAAAAAGAGGCCACCCATAAATTCTAACTGGAGAGAAAGGACATTGCATTTGCTGGAAAAATCTCCACTTAATCTGGTCACTTTCTCAGTAACTAGTAAATATAATAATTCCTCTTATGAAATATAGAAATTACAGTATTTATTTCCTCCAAGTCAGGTGCTGGGCTGTACGTAGTACTATCATTTTAGCTCAGTCGCTCAACTAAAAGAACAGAAGCAAAGCAGGATTTATAGTTTATCAAAAAAATTAAAAATAAAAAAATAAACAAGAAGCAATTATGTATTCCAGAGTAGGAACCTATGTTAAATAGCATAGTAGACAAAAAAGGAAAAAAAAAAAACACCCCATTTCTGCTGCTATAATCGAGTTAGGGATCTGATCAACAATAGTTTACTTCCAAGGTACCAACTGTTACCTATGGTTCTCTGGGGTCAACGTTTCCTATATAATAAATAAGGATTTTTCTCTGCTCCCAGGAACATAATAAGCATGGATTTCCTCCTATTTCTAGGAACTTTAAAGTAACCAACCAAATGCATGTACCTAGTGGCTCTAAATTTCCTACAAAGCACAGTCTCTTATGATGTGCTTATATGAATGATCATGGCCACATAGCTACAGTGCAACTACAGAATGCTAGGTGAAAAACTCAAACCTTGTTGCATATTTTAATGAGACTAAATACATTTTTATGTGAACCCAATTAGTCTAGGATCTGAAATTTGAGCCCTACAAATATTGCAAATGTCCATCGAATAGTAGTAATACAGTGTTTGTGTATCAAGCTCCTATTTCTACCGTTCAGGAAGCCTGTCTGAGTCATGTTCAGAGTCTACTCTTGTACTGTTTCTGAATTTGTCCCCATTTCTGCCTCACCAGAGGATGACAAGTCCCTTACAACTTTTAAATTTATACCTCCAGTGTCAAGCACATAGTAGGCACTGCAGAAACATAAAGTATATCATACTATTGATGAGCATGGATCTAGCATGAGAATAATGGGCTCATGGGCTGGCTCCCCAACTCACAGTCCTGGGTATGTTGTTCCTTAATTTCTGTTACTTCTCAGTTCCTTACTACGAAATAGGGAAAATAATGGTACCCACACAGTAGGTTTGCTGTGTATATTGAATGAGATTATTCTTTTAGAGGGCTTGGCTCAAAATCACTAGCAGCCACTATAGTTTAGATCATTGTTTGAATGAAATGAGTCAAGAGAATGTTATAATTCACGTCATATATGTATATAATTATATATATCTTATTTTGTAATGGTGCATCTATTTAATAAATATCTACTGAGGCCCCAACACCAGCAAGGCACTAATTAAGACTCTGGAGAAAGGGGCCTCCCCGGTGGCGCAGTGGTTGAGCACTGGGTTGCGAATCTGCCCATGGCCTCTGCGGTGCTGGTTCGATCCCCGGCTGCTCCCCGGCCACCGGAGGAGGGTCCCACATGGCACGCAGACCTCTCCTGCCGCCTGCTGCTCCCCTCAGCAGTGTAATTCTATCCTTCTGCCTGTTCTGCTCCCAGCTCTGGCTCTGGTGAATTCTCTCACCCTCCTGCGCTTCTGACTGTACCCAGTGCTTGTATAAACAAAAACAAACAAACAAATAAATAAAACATGCCTCTATTAAAAAAAAAAAAGACTCTGGAGAAAAACTGATAAACAAGACAAAGCTCCTTCCCTGGTGGCATTTTTATTTTATTATGAGAGAAAGAAAATAGATGTGTATGTGAACTGCAGGTGGGAGCATATGCTTTCAGGGGAAATAGTTCCATAGGAGATATAGGTTAACGGATGGAGAGTGTGTTTGAGGAAGGAAGCAATGTGGGGAGTAGGGAAGCAGTTTTAGATAAGTGATTAGGAAAAGCCTGGCTTAGGATATGTCATCTAAACCGAGAGCCTTGAAAAGGTGTTGGGGATAGTGTCTTGACAGGGGAGGGCAAAGGGATTCAATGTGGGAATAAAGCTTTGCATGTTGTGGGAAGGGCAAAAAGGTTAAAGTAATTGTGGCAGAGCAATGGAAAAGAGGTTGGAAATGAAAGCAAGGGCCAGATTATGTGGGCCACAGGAAACACTTCCTATTTTACTATAGGGATGATTGGAAGTCACTAAAGAGTTTTGAAAAGGGTGATGTCATGATTCTTTTCTCAAAGATCATTGAGTTTTGCAGAAAATTGGCAATGGGCAGAGTGGCAGGAGTAGGTGGGCAAAACCAGAAGCAGTTAGGTGGTATAGGGTAAGGTGAAAGGTATCAGGCTTTTCTGCCCTCCCGCCATCAGGATAGATGACGGAACCCTGTGGTCCTGAATGCATGCCTGATGGCGGGCACCTGGAGTAGGGTGTGGGCATAGGTAGATGGGATTCACCTGGGCTGAGACTGGGCTTTTAAGGGCGGCGTCACGGGGACGCCAGCAGAAGCTGAGAGAAAGAGAAGCCGAGAGAAAGAGAAGGCCCCAGCAAACCCTCACTCTATCTGGGCTCTCTGGCATTCTCTCTGCTTTTCTTCTTCTCTCGGCTTCTCTTTCTCTCAGCTTCTTCTGGCATCCCCGTGATGCCGCCCTTAAAAAGTCCAGTCTCAGCCCAGGTGAATCCCATCTACCTATGCCCACACCCCACTCCAGGTGCTCCCCATCAGGCATGCATTCAGGACCGCAGGGTTCCGTCATTTATACTAATGGCGGGAGGGCAGAAAAGCCTGATACCTTTTACCTTACCCTACAGGTGGCTAGTGCAATGTCTAGTGAGAAAAAAAATCAGAGCATGAACAAGAATAGTGGGGAGAAAGTAGTAAGAAAAGGAAAGAGTTCTCTTACAAAATGTAAATATTTTAAATAAAGTAACAGGGTCTATAAGACAGAAAAAAAAAGTTCAGCAATTCATCAGCCATGCAAGGTCTATCTTTTGAAGCAGAATTTGCTTATGAAGTGGATATAGTGCACAAGAAAATGAGAATAGAGATTGCCATCTTATTTTTTGACCTGGATACGTGGGTTGTTCCATTTATAGAGTTCAAGATTGGAAAAGTAGTTTCGGATTATGAGTTCCTTTTGCTTAACCCACAAAGTTTGAGATACCTATCAGACATTTAGCTGTAGGGAGCTGTAAACTGTAAGTCTGAAGATCAGAGTGGAGGCTGAGACATAAACATGGGAATAATAAGTAAACCACTAGCATCTGAAGATAAGAGACACAAGCTATAATCTAGCGGATAGCATTGAAAAGAAAGCCAGGAAAATTGGGTCACGTAACTTATAAGTTTTAGAAACTGGGAGAAAGAAGAAGATGCTCAAAGGTGACTAAGAGGCAGCAGTCAGCAAGGCAGGAGCAATGGAGGAGAGTGTGAGGTCTTGGAGCCAAGTGAAAAAGCTATTCAGTCAGCTATTTGAAAACACAAATAGTGTGCATCATACTAGGAAATTCCAGTGCAGAGCAAGAATAGAATCTCTTTGAAACTTGCTGTGAAAGGATCTGTCATAAATATATTCGATGGCGACTCTCATACACAACCTCCATACCAAAGTCCATGTGCTGAATCTATGTCCCCACCACCACCTCCCAAAAAGATGAGGATAAATAAAACCAAACAAAAGATTTATTGGATTTTTAGTCTTCCCAAACCAGACAGTGTTGATTTTATTTCTCTTTCCTAGAGCCATCTTATCTTTGCCATTTCTTTCAACCATGTTTTCAAGACAAATTTGTCAGATTTATTTTAAAGACAACAATCACTGCCGGGCCTTAATTTCCGGAAAGGATTAAAAACAATCAACAACTACAAAAATGCTACATTTTAGGGAAACATGAAACGAACAGATCCAACTTTCCCATGTGTATAAATATGTTTAGAATGGCCTTAAAGCTGCAGGGAAAGGGAGGGAGGAGTGGTTAAGTCTCCACCCAAAAAACCTTCAGGGTTTATTACCCAGACAAAACCTTTCCACTCTGCAGGCTAGCAGGAGGGTTACTTCCAGTTATCCTCTGAGCAACCCGGGCTGGGTCTGTGCCAACAAGACCAGGCTCCATTCAGTGACTCTGGGGAGAAAAGGGCCTGGGAGGGGACCCCGCCTCTTCTTTTCTTTCAGTAGAATGACAGGCTGCTGGCTGGACACACGCCTGGCAGATGGCATTTCAAAGGGTTTTCAGGAGCCATCTGGGGTGGGTACAATTATTACAAACCACGCTCCTAACAAAGCCAGAAGGGTTACTTCCTGGCAGAAGAGAAGTAAAACAAATTCTATCATGTTTTTCAGGGACAGCATGTTTAAAAAAAAAAAAAACCAGACTGACACACTGGGGTTTCCTACAGCCCCAAACACTGCCGTCTGCTTCTCGAGGTAGACATCGGGCCAACAATGTCTTGCAGTTATTAGCCTTAAGCAAATAAACACAGTGCAGACCTCTGCCTTCAAG